TGTAGGTTCATCTACTATAACAAATGTACCACTCTGATGGGAGCTGTGGATAATGGGGGAGGGCAACATGTGTGGGAGTTGGTAGGTATACGGGGAATCTCTGTATCTTTCTCCCAATTTTGCAGTGAATGTAAAAGTGCTCTAAAAAATAAGGACTTAGGGGTGCCTGGGTGGTGCAGTCAGTTGTGTCTGACTCTTGGTTTCGGCTCAGGTCCTAAGATCAAGCCCCGTGTCAGGCTCTGCATTCAGCATAGAGTCTGCTTAAGATTCTCTCTCCCTCTGCCCCACTACGCCTCCCCTTAAATAAATTAAATAAATAAATAAATAAATAAAAACTTAAACACCTTTCCTGCTACATGCTTATTAACATAAAAAAACAACCAACCAACCAACCTTAGGTGCAAAAAATTTTTTAAAGGGCAAATACATCCATCTGGTTTCTCCAACCCCCTTCTGAAACTGCTTTTCCAAAGATCACGAACACCTTGAGATATTTCAAAGCCCTCACTTGTCTTCCTCAATTATCTTCCCAGACTTCTCTGTAGTATTTAAAATGGCTAACAACTCTTTTAAAATTGTTCTCCTCCTTTATAACCCATATATCCTCAGCTATTCATGCAACTTCCTCATATGTCCCTTATATTTCAACTTTTTATATTAAAAAGCAATAAAAAATTGCTTTTTATTTCTTTTTCATTAGCAATTTGTGTCCTTGTTTTCTTGCTTTGAAACTTTGATCAAACATCTGCACAAAATTAGTCAAATCCCAAATTAGATTTTTGTAGTACCTGTAAGATAACACTAACTAGTAAAAACTTAAAATAGTATGTATTGGGGGGCGCCTGGCTGGCTCAGTTGGTGGAATGTGCGACTCTTGACAGGCGTTGTGGGTTCAAGCCTCAGGTTGGGCATAGAGATTATTTAAAAATAAAATCTAAAGGGGCGCCTGGGTGGCTCAGTCAGTTAAGCGTCTGCCTTTGGCTCAGGTCATGATCTCAGGATCCTGGGACTGAGCCCTGCATCAGGCTCCCTGCTGAGCAGGGAGTCCACTTCTCCCTCTCCCTCTGCCCCTACCCCTGCTTGTGCTCACTTGCTCTCTCTCTCTCAGATAAATAATAAATTTTAAAAATCTAAAAAAATAAATAAATAAATAAAAGGAAGCCTGGATGGCTCAGTCAGTTCAGTGTCTGACTCTTGATTTCGGCTCTGTTCATGATCTCGAGACCCTAGACAGGCTCTGTACTCAGCATAGAGTCTGCTTGTCCCTCTTCCTCCCCCTCCCACCCCATGCACGCATGCTCTCTCAAATAAATAAATAAAATCTTTTAAAAAAATAAAATAAAATAGCATGTATTGGGATAAAACACTATACGTCTCCTAATTAGACAAGATACAATATACACAGTCCCTATAAAGGCCTCTGGCCAAAAATATGTAACAAGCTTTTAAATTTAACTTGCATGTAACAGAAAATTAAAGGGCTAGAGCTGTGCTGTCCAATATGACAAGCTCTGGCCACACAGAACTATTTAAGTTTAAATTAACCAAAATTACCAAAATCAAAAACTCATCCATATTTCAAATGCTCAATAGCTGTATATGTCTACTGGCTACGCACGGGACAGTGTAGCTATAGAGCACTGCCATCACTGCAGAAAAGTTCATATATATTTGAATTTTAATAACCATGTAGTATGAATGGTATACAATAAAGTTTCCTTTCTTCTTTTTTTTTTAAGATTTTATTTTTTAGAAAGGCAGAGGGAAAGGGAGACGGAGAGAAAATCTTAAGCAGGCTCCACACCCAGCCTAGAGCCTGACATGGGGCTTGATCCCATGGCCCTGAGATCATGACCTGAGCTGAAACCAAGAGTGGAATGCTTAACCGACTGAGCCACCCAGGCACCCCTCTTTTCCCATTCTTGTCCCCTAGCCAACTAGTACCCCTCTTTACTGCTAGCAATTGCTTTTTATTTCTTTTTCATTAGCAATTTCTTATGTATCTTTTTAGAAATAGTGTTTTTTTACACTTAATTCATATTAGAAATTGTCCCAGGGCAGCCCCTCTATTTTTAATGACTGCCTAGTATGTCATCATATGAATGTGGAAATGCAGCTATTAAATACAATTCTGCAATGAATATCCTCATAAATACATCATTGCATGCAGAGTCAATACTTTCGGATATATATTTGGGGGGGCAGGCCTATTGGATATATTTCTTTTAACAATTTCTGGGACAATGCTTTTAAATGTTGCTATATGTGTAACTGCTGTCCACAGGTTATTCTAATTTATAGCCCTACCAACAGTGTACAAGAGTAAAAATTTAAACTTCTAAGAAAAAAAGTTATTTGAAATGGTTGCAAATATTCCAGTCACCCCTGACAAATAATTATAAACCAAAGATTTCCTAAAATGCAGACACAAGCGAAAACATGTTTCCAAAAATGTTACAACGAGAAACATACAAATTCACCTTTAATTCAATGCACACAAAGACATATCAGGAAGTCTGATCTCTTTGGCAAAGGTTTCACGCTTTCAAAAACACCGAGACCAACCAATTTCTTGAGTTTGCCAAGAAAAAGAAATGTTTACATAATTTCTCAATTATTATTAACTCAGTTAATAATGGTGCAAATATTAAATTGTGTTGCCCCATATGCTTACTGAAGTTTCAAGGAAACTTGAGCTGATTAAGAAACAAAAATGTAAATTAATATATCTTGAACTTAGAAGGCTCTGTTAGGTTGAATTTTGAGGTTTTGAATGAAGACTGTTTAAAAATATTTTCCATCATTTCAATAAATGGAAGAGGATAAGTTATTCTGGTATGTGGTGGCACTTCTGGTTGAACTTAGATAGTTCACATGCAGGGAAGTAGTATAGCACAGAACTAAAGAGTTTGGATTCTGGGCGCGCCTGGGTGGCTCAGTCGGTTAAGCATCTGACAGGCTCTGACTTTGGCTCAGGTTGTGATCTCAGGGTCCTGGGATCAAGCCTTCCATCAGGCTACCTGCTCGGCGGGGAGTCTGCTTTTCCCTTTGCCCCACCCCTGCTTGTGTGTGCGCGTGCACACACACACTCTCTCAAATAAAATAAAATCTTTAAAAAAAAAAAAAGTACGGATTCTGAACACCAGAGAGTTCTAGTGCTCAGTAACCCACCCAGTGTGAGCTCAAATACTGACTCCAATCCTGCAACATCAAACAGGCGGTCTCCAATTCAAGGGAGAAAATTATTTCTTCAAAATAAAATCAGGCTTCACTTAAAGTCAAACAGATAATTTCTACAAAATGTATATTCTTCACAGTGATTCAAACTTCTCATCTACTCCTCCCTTCAGTCTAAGAATGGGACGCCCTCCCCGTCTAGAACTCTTTTCCCAGGTACTCCAGATACGGAGATAACAAAGGTCCTCCATCTCTCTTGCCTATATTGTCAACATTTCTATACTAGCTTACCCTCCATATACACTTTCTCAAGTGTCCTTAAAAATCCTTCTCTTGATCCTATTGTCTCCTGGTAGTCTCAATCTTCTCTCTTCTGTACCTCACACTGGAGCATCCTAAAAAATGACATTGTCTTTACACCCCACCCCACACTCAACTTTTTCCCTGCCATTCCTCTGAAAGTCCCCTTACACTAAGCCTAATACTTACCATACTTAGTTGTTAAATGGATTCTTTTGAGTCTTATCTCACTTGACCTCTCAGCAACATCTATCACTAGACTATCTGACTCAAAACTCTTCTCTGGTTTCCGGGATACCACTTTTTTCCCAGATTCTATTTGTTCATTTATTACATACTTACAAAGCACCTACAATGGTGCCAAGCACTGAACTAGGAATTGAGGGGTACAGTCTCTCTACAGACTTATAAATAGGCAATTACAACAGGACATATAATTACTGCTTTGACAGAGATAGGAACAGGGTGCTAAGGGAAGAGTCAGATTGGAAATCCAGAGGATATCTCCATATCTCATCTGCCAATCCATTAATATCCCTCAAGGTTCTTCCCTTGCTTTTTTCTTTAACTCCATCAACACACTCCCTGACTGTGGAATATAAATTTACATTTTCTGAATACTTAGGGTATTCCTATTTTCTATCCCCCAAACCACCTTTTTTTTGGTATTCACTTGTTACTCCCACCTCAATTGATACAACAGTGCGGTTCTGATTATTGTTTAGTAATTTATAATCACACTGTTCAACCCACCACTGTTCACCATACACACATATATAAACCCCTTCCCTCTCATTAGATTTAAATGTGGCTACTATTCCAATTTCCAACCCTGCGCCAGCCACACTCAAAAATTTGCAGTTCACTGTCCCACCCTACTTTGTGCTCACACACGTGCATGCTCTTGAAAATTTTCTCCTGCTTACCAGAGCTCCTCCTGTCACTCTTTAGACTAACTTCTATTTGTCCTTCAAGACCCAGTTATCACCTCCACCCCAGAGGCCTCCCTCACCCCCTTCCACCCACCTGGGTCCTTCCCATGGATCCCAAAGCACCATGTGGATACCTCATCTGAATTCTTAATGTAAGCCACTACCTTGAGTACAGGCCCAGGTTCTGCAGCACCCAGCAGAGGGTCAGGCGTGTTCCAAGAGCTTAATAATGTTAGTTAAACAAATAAATCAAGGGTGGGAATGTCCCTGTCCCAAATGATGGACCGAGAAAAAAAACAACAAAAATACCAGCTACGGCTAAAGCTTCATACTTTCTCTTGCATTCCCCAAACTACAGTACATAGAGCGATCCACCAATCTTAGACCCAAAGACCGTGTGCGTTTTCCAAGATGGGAAGTAGGCGGTTGTATAACTGGAAACCTCACGTCCTCGCCCCAACCTCTTTCTCCCCACCCCTTCCTTGCAAAAAATCCCCAAGCATTTAAGAGAAAAGCCCCCAAGTTTGAAAAGGGTCCACTGGGGCAACAAGCTTGCAGTTTTAAACCAAAGAAAAGCAACTGGCAGCTCACCTGGGCAGCAAGGCACGCACGGGGATGGCCTCCCCAACGGCCTCGCCAGTTGCACAGTGTTGATGGGGGAGGGGAGAAGAGGGAAAAACGGTTCTTTCCCGCTCAGCGTCGCACCGAGGGCCCGGACCCCAAAGCAGTAGTCCACGCAGAGGCTGTGTCACGTTGTGTGAAAAAGGCCTTATCTGATCGTTCCCGCCAGCTTGCACAAGATGAAGCGGTGCGAGGCAGCCGTTCTTCACCGACCGTCGCAGCCAGCTCTCGTCCTAATGGCGGCAACCGCTAGCGGGCAGCAACAGGCGCCTTTATGGGAGACCCGCGGCGGGCAGCCCGCCCATTGGCCTGAGCGTGTCACGTGGCCAGGCCTGGCGCGGGCGGCCGGTAAAGTGCTTGAGGTCCCAGCTCCGCTGCCAGGGCTTGGGCCGGGTTTGAGGGTCCTCCACCGGGTGAGTGCCCTGTTGTTGAGACTTTACTGAATGCCGGGTACCGGGCAGAGAGCTGGGGGTTTAGGCGTAGGAGCGCCACCCAGAAGGAGTTTACCATGAAAACAATGAAATGAATTAGCCCTATGCTGTTTTGGGGGTTCGTGAGTTTGAGCTTGCGCTGTTTTCGTCCAATCATACTTGTTCTCCAGTTCTCCCCACAGCTCCCCTCTCTTGCACGCAGTGAATGTTCAGCATTAGATAGCAGCTGAGGTTGGAGTCCACAGGAGCTCATGGGGTTTAGAATGGCACTTAAGAGCATTTTCACAGCAAGCAGCTGCGTGGAGAGAGTGATTTAGGATTTTGAAGAGTCTTGGCAACTACCTCATTATATGTGGATGTGTATGAGAAGACTGTGTTTAGCACCAAATTTGCCTTTTGGATCCAATTGCAAACAGTGTTTCTAAAAAGTCCTTCCTAGATGGATGAATGGATGGGAGGATAGGTGGGGGAGGGGAAGCCAAAAACAGCTGACGAGCTGCTCAATAAACCCATCAAAAACCAATCTGTCTCCAGATTCTTGAAGTGCAGATCTGGCGGCCATGAACAGCTTGGCATGTCTTAATTTTGTTGCTTTTCTGTGAGCGTCCAAGTGTTCACAGAAATAACCGGAGCGGCAAGCCGTTTTACATTGGAAAGGCTCTCCTTACTTAAAACACCCAAAATGGCTTACTTTAGTCAGAGAAAGGACTAGAAGGCCTTTACTTCCAGGTAACGGAATAATCAAGGAATGTAGTCAAAGCCGTAGTGTACACTTTGGTTAGATTCTTGTTCCGTGTTTTTGTTTAAAATCTTATTAGGCAGGAAAAAGGAACTAGGGTGTGATCTAGGTACATACACAGGGTGTGACCCTCACACGGTGAAGGGCTTAAGGGAAGTCAAAGGAAATAAAAGCCAGGAATGATTCAGTGCGAGTCTTGTTCAGCTGTCAACTTTTTTGGCTCTCCTTCTCCTGAGAACCAGTGCTGGGGAAAAGTGCATACTCCACAGAGAAGCCCTGGTGATCTTTTAGAAAGCTAAATCTCATCATGTTAACCCCCTTAAAACCTTTCAATTACTTTCCATTATTTTTAAGATAAAGATCAAAATCTTTAAGATGAGCTACAAGGTTCTACTTGAACTATCTCTATTCAGCTCCAGCCACCCCTCCAATAGTGCACACATCTCTGGCCACACTGACCTTTTACCTCTTTCCCCTTACCCTATTGTCCTCCCCCTCCCCTCCCTTCCCCTGTCCACCCCTCAGGGCTCTTATAACCGGCTCTTCTCTCAACTCCCTTCCCACACTCAAGGTCTCCCTCAAAGTCTTTTCCTCAAGGAGGCCTCCACTAGATTGGTCTTCCTATTACACACTCTCATTACAACATAATTACATAGCACCTATTACAATTGTACTTATATAGCCAGGCACATGTTTAATGTCTATTTCCCCCACCACACAGTAAGCACCATGAATGCAAAGTATCAAAAACCTTTAAAGTGTATTATCATTGAGTACATTGTCCTTTGATCCTGCCAGGTTTTACAGACTGTGGCCAATAAAATTTGAATTAAGGGCATGGGTGGGCAGGGAGGGGGAGAGTGACAAAAACAGATTTTGAGTTTTTAAAGAAACAAAATGGTTGTAAAAATGGAGAATATGGAGAATGGGTTTATTTGGGAAGTAGACTCCTGAAGATTTGCTGTTAGATTGGATGTAAAGACGATGGTGTTTCTGGCTTGAGCATTTGGAGGAAGGCATCATTTACTGGAAAGGGAATTGTAGGAGGGGAGCAAGTTTGAGGGAGGGGGAAGATCATGAGTTCAGTTTTGAACATAAAAATTCAGGGTGCCTATAAAATATCTGGAGAGAGATTTTGAATAGGGAGTTTATTATACAGCTCAAAATTCAGTCTAAGCTGAAGATGGGAGTGGAGGGCAGGAAGGAAGTTAGACAAGTGAAATTGGTTTGAAATAATTCTTACGGAGAACAGGAGAAAAATCTGGGGAAATGTCTTAGTAAGACAGATTTGAAAAGTTAAGATGTGGACATTGGTGAATGTTCATGGAGAAGTAAGGTAGTTGCTTTTCCCCAACACTTGAGATTTGCCAGGGGAAGTGTGACAGAGACAATAGAGAAAAGTAGCTTCTAAAATATTGGGGGGAAAGTGGCTGAGACTAGGATATCACAAGGGCTATTCTGTGACACATAAAAACAGCTGTGATTATGGGTTGTTGTTTTTTTTTTTTTTAGAAAAGCATCAAAGAGTTCCATTTCAGTTTAAATCAATATATCACACAAACATAAATGAAAGACCTTTTAAAGTTTCCATCCTTCATTCTAGCATCAGATTCAACAAGAGGAAGCCTAACTTTCTGGTCTCCTATGGGATTCACAAGGGTCCCCAGAACTCAGTTAAAGATTTAAATTTAAGAATGGTTTTGTATAGGAATTTGGAGGCAACTTAATACATATAGACATAGAGGGTAATTTATTGCTAAAAATAAAAATATTTATGGGGTGCCTGGGTGGCTCAGTCCGTTGAGCCTCTGACTCGATTTCAGCTCAGATTGTGATCTTAGGGTCATGAGATTGAGCCCTGCATTGGCCTCAGTGCTCAGTAGGGAGTCTGCTTCTCTCCTCCCTCTTCTTCTCCCTCCCATTCATGCATGGGTGCGCTGTCTCAAATAAAAAAATTTTATTTATTATAAATGTTAAAAAAATTATCACTAGTTATAAGCTTGTAATTTCCTTTATCAAATGTATTTATTTAAGAACTAGTATTAAATATAATTAAATATATATTCCTCATGTAACTTAAATGTGCAGAAGATTCAAATTTGGATGTGAATGAATATAGCAAACAGTGAATTATCTTAATATAATAATTTCAAATAAAGGTTACAAATAATTTTGGGGAGGTGGGCTGCAAACATGGGCCCCATCTATGAGGAAAGAAGGCATAAATTTTATATAGTACTACCACAAAACATGAGTTTAGTTTATCAACTTATAATTTATTTGTCAGATTTGGTCCCATTAACCCTGTCAATTTTTTTTTAATTTGTCAAGATTTTGTAAGTAATAAAATAACACTGGCAAACACTAAAAGTTAATTTTGCATCTAGAATGCTTAAACTACATGACATAAAGAATTTCTGTCAGCATAAGAAATATAAATCAGGTACAGTAGGAAGTTACGGAGAATGTCTCTGTGAAAGGGCTATAACCTAATCTGGAAGTCCTCAGCAGTTCCTAGCCCTCTTGAGTAGCGTGAATGCCTGTCTGTTTGGCCTTGATTGCATTTTCAGGCTCTTTATGAGAAGACGCATCATGAAGGAGAGTCCATTTGCCCAAGTCTAGGTTCCTAAAGGGCTGAAGAAGGGTGTTGATGAGTCACACGCTCCAAAATAAAAATGGAGGATCAAATTCCAGTGGGGCTTCCGATTTCCATCCCAGAGGAAAATCAGGAACTTATGGATTCCAACAATCCTTTGCCTCCGCCAGAATCAGTAACCCATTGACCCTATTACCTTTTCACTATCCCTTACCTACTGTACCCTCCTCCCTTCTTATCCAGTCAATCATGATAATTCCTTCTTGCAATCACCTTCAACTCCTCTACCTCCTCTTCCTTCTTATTTCATGCTTGGCAAGATGACAACTTTTATTAAATCTTTATTTAATCCCTTTGCCCTGTAGTTCATTGTGACTAAAGGAAAAGGCACAACCATGTTGTCAAGTTGCCCCTTAAATAAAAGATCAACTACCATTGCCACCCCCACACTCCCTAACCATTTTCCCTGCTACAGTTTTCTCCACAGCATGTATAACCATCTAATACATTATAGAATTGTTTGTTTAATCTATCTCTCTCTCCCTAGAATGGAAGCTCAGAGAAGGGATTTTTGTCTGTTTTGTTTACTGCCTTATCCTCAGTACATAGTAGAGTATCTGGCACAGAGCAGGTGTTCATTTAATAGTGGTCTAATAGGGGCACCTGGGTGGCTCAGTCGTTAAGCATCTGCCTTCGGCTCAGGTCATGATCCCAGGGTCCTAGGATCGAGCCCCATATGGGGCTCCTTGCTCAGCGGGGAGTATGCTTCTCTCTCTGCCTCTGTCACTCTCCCTGACTCTGTCACTCTCCCTGCTTGTGTGCACTCTCTCTGTCAAATAAATAAATAAATAAATAATCTTTAAAAAAACGAATCCACTGGCCGAAGTAAAAAGTTAAAGATGGCATCCTGACTTGTGCTTGAGAAGAGGCCTGCAGTTCCCTGACATGGCTCTGTATTGACGGCAGGAGACTCTCTTGTACTGGAGTAGATTAAAGAGTTCCTAAATATTTGCTGGGGTTGTCTAGCACTTGAAACAGGGTACCAGCTTTCAAATGTCGTTGAAATTATAAAAACTCTGTGGATCTAATTGGTGGAAATTGGCACATGTATTTTCAATTGTACTGGAGAAGCAAAGAGACCAAAGGAAAAATCCATACGTGAAACAATGACCGCATCTTTTGGCTGCTTTTAACAATTATAATCCATGTCAGGAAACTGAAGAAGATACCTTCAGTGATCCAGTGGATCGTTCCCACATCTGAATTCT